ACACACACTCACACACACATACATACACTCACACACACACACATACATACATACATACACACACACACGCACACACATACATACATACATACACACACACATGACATATATACATACATACATACATACATACATACATACATACATACATACATACACTCACACACATACATACATACACTCACACACACACATATATACATACATACATACATACATACATACATACATACATACATACATACATACATACATACATACATACATACATACATACATACATACATACATACATACATACATACATACATACATACATACATACATACATACATACATACATACATACATACATGGTGAGGTGAGGTGAAATTGGGTTTTACGTCGTGCTTGAGAATATTTCGCACATATGGCGACTTGCTTTCGTGTGTATGTGTATGTGCGGCTGCTTGTACTAGCCCAGACTTAAGCTGGTTTTATATTTCTAGCCCACTGAGATACCATGCCGCAGTGAAGCATGAATACCCCACTCAGACACATTATACTGACTCCGAGCCGACAAGTCCTTGTTGTACCCATTAATGCCGAGCGCCAGACAGGGATCAACAAGTACCATATTTTAACGTCTTTTGGTATGACGCGGTCGGGGATCGAACCCGCGACCTTCCGCTCTCCTACATACATACATACATACATACATGCATGCATACATGCATGCATACATGCATACATACATACATACATACATACATACATACATACATACATACATACATACATACATACATACATACATACATACATACATTGTCGGAATACAAGGTTGTGAAAAAGGGATTTGAATGTATCCTGCATGAGGTTGTTGATTGAGTAATTCAACAGCACACAAAGTCGGGTTAGGCGTCTGACTTTGTGTGCTGGCGATTAGGTGCCTGACTCTGAGGGTGTAGGTTCGAATCCCGGATGGGACTCAACCCAATATAAGTACTAGAATCTGTACTTTACTAAGAAGGTGTAATCCCAAATATACTACATCTGTCCACGCTGGTGCCTTAACCAGTGCCATAACAATCTGAAGGAAGCCACATCCGATCGGTTGAGTGATTTATATTACACCAGGTTTCATCAGGGTATATAATTTGAGGGTATTCTTCAACTGCTCTGAGATAAGCTGATCGCATGGACAGGATGGTGTACTTTTCTCTAAACACAGCTCTGTCATCTCCCCTTTTGGTGTACCTGAACCCCATTTCTACCAGAGCTACAATAAGTGTTGTTTTCGAGACATTTATTGTATCTTTGATCTCATCTTCTATTTTAGCACACGTTAGGGGGATTTGGCGTTCATACAGTTTATAAACTGTACAGCGTATGGCACCCTTATCAAACCTATCTAGTTTGTGTTTCCTACCTGGTTTTGATTTTGACACGACCCCTGAGGTAACTGATTTGTTTACAACTTTGTAAACCTGACTACATGTCAAATTAAGGGCTTTACACATTCTATAGTAAACCCTGTCATAGCTGACGTGAGTTTTCCACTTTGTTTCTCCAGTATGAAATACTGATATAAATTTGAAATTAATTGTTCTGCGGAGATATCAAGTCGCATGTTGCCAGTTCAATCAATGCTCATACTGTGGGTGAACAAGAATATCTATGCGATTTGAATTAAGACTTTTTTACGTAATTATTTTGAATATAACTACTACAAGAGTTCCATCTTTTTCACATATAGATGTTAAAAAAACAAAACTTTTTACAATCATTTATGTGATTTAATTAGTTGAGGCTATATGAATAATTTAGTCTGTGTTTCAAAACTACAGTTTGTACTTAGAATATTTACGAATGTTGTTAAAACGTCAAAATTTCCTCCTGTGAAGTCACCCATCAAGTGCATTTTTTCATCTGAGCTTTAATATCCAACTAGGTAGAGTCGTACATGTATCATATATGTGCTTTTATCTTGTAGTCAAATTCATCATATTGATATTGAAGCCAAAAAGCATTTTCCAAGCATTCCCGGCCTTACTTCAGCAATGTTACCTGATGATACGTCTTGTATGTTATCATATGGTACTTGCATGTACTACCCGAGAGATCCTGTAAGACGAATGCATACTGTGTTGTCACTCACTCACTCAAGGGGTTTCAGTGCCGGCTTCTCATTGGCTAATGTGTTTATACACCCCAGTTTGTGTATGGTCATGCATCAAATGTGCGAGTGTCCTGACATGGTGGACTGAACGATTCAGTTTGAATTACCAGTGGCACTACAATCAAATGTCCATCCTAGACTGTATACATATAGACTTCCTTCTTTGTTTGTTGAGGGGCGGCGGGGTAGCCTAGTGGTTAAAGTGTCCGCTCGTCACGCCGAAGACCCGGGTTCGAATGCCCACATAGATACAATGTGTGAAGCCCATTTATGGTGTTCCCCGCCGCGATATTGCTGGAATATTGCTAAAAGCGGCGTAAAACCATACTCACTCACTCACCCACTAGTTTGTTGACAGCCACAAACGTTCTGACTCTACACACCAAATTAACATTACGTCATTTCATGATGTTTTACCAGCAACAGCCGATGTCCTGTCTCTACTTAGTATTACGAGGTGTGGTTGTTTTCTTGACAACCATGGGGTTGTGTCTCTACTTAGTATTACAAAGTGTGGTTGTTTTCTTGACAACCATGGGGTTGTGTCTCTACTTAGTATTACTAAGTGCGGTTGTTTTCTTGCGGCCAGTAGGTTGTGCCTCTACTTAGTATTACGAGGTGCGGTTGTTTTCTTGACAACCAGTAGGTTGTGCCCCTACTTAGTATTACAAAGTGTGGTTGTTTTCTTGACAACCAGTAGGTTGTGTCTCTACTTAGTATTACAAAGTGTGGTTTGTTTTCTTGACAACCGGTAGGTTTTGTCTCTACGTTGTATTACGAGGTGTGGTTGTTTTCTTGACAACCATGGGGTTGTGTCTCTATCTTAGTATTACGAGGTGCGGTTGTTTTCTTGACAACCAGTAGGTTGTGCCCCTACTTAGTATTACAAAGTGTGGTTGTTTTCTTGACAACCAGTAGGTTGTGTCTCTACTTAGTATTACAAAGTGTGGTTTGTTTTCTTGACAACCGGTAGGTTTTGTCTCTACATTGTATTACGAGGTGTGGTTGTTTTCTTGACAACCATGGGGTTGTGTCTCTACTTAGTATTACGAGGTGCGGTTGTTTTCTTGACAACCAGTAGGTTGTGTCTCTACTTAGTATTACAAAGTGTGGTTGTTTTCTTGACAACCATGGGATTGTGTCTCTACATAGTATTACGAGGTGTGGTTGTTTTCTTGACAATCATGGGGTTGTGTCTCTACGTAGTATTACAAAGTGTGGTTGTTTTCTTGACAACCATGGGGTTGTGTCTCTACTTAGTATTACGAGGTGTGGTTGTTTTCTTGACAACCATGGGGTTGTGTCTCTACGTAGTATTACAATGTGCGGTTGTTTTCTTGACAACCATGGGGTTGTGTCTCTACTTAGTATTACGAGGTGTGGTTGTTTTCTTGACAACCATGGGGTTGTGTCTCTACGTAGTATTACAATGTGCGGTTGTTTTCTTGACAACCATGGGGTTGTGTCTCTACTTAGTATTACGAGGTGTGGTTGTTTTCTTGACAACCATGGGGTTGTGTCTCTACGTAGTACTACAATGTGCGGTTGTTTTCTTGACAACCATGGGGTTGTGTCTCTACTTAGTATTACGAGGTGTGGTTGTTTTCTTGACAACCATGGGGTTACGTCTCTACTTAGTATTACGAGGTGTGGTTGTTTTCTTGACAACCATGGGGTTGTGTCTCTATTTAGTATTACGAGGTGTGGTTGTTTTCTTGACAACCAGTAGGTTGTGTCTCTACTTAGTATTACAAAGTGTGGTTGTTTTCTTGACAGCCAGTAGGTTGTGCCTCTACTTACTATTACGAGGTGTGGTTGTTTTCTTGACAACCGGTAGGTTGTGTCTCTACGTAGTATTACGAGGTGTGGTTGTTTTCTTGACAACCATGGGGTTGTGTCTCTACTTAGTATTACGAGGTGCGGTTGTTTTCTTGACAACCGGTAGGTTGTGTCTCTACGTAGTATTACAAAGTGTGGTTGTTTTCTTGACAACCAGTAGGTTGTGTCTCTACGTAGTATAACAAAGTGTGGTTGTTTTCTTGACAACCATGGGGTTGTGTCTCTACATAGTATTACGAGGTGTGGTTGTTTTCTTGACAACCATGGGGTTGTGTCTCTACTTAGTATTACGAGGTGTTGTTGTTTTCTTGACAACCATGGGGTTGTGCCTCTACTTAGTATTAGGAGGTGTGGTTGTTTTCTTGACAACCATGGGGTTGTGTCTCTACATAGTATTACGAGGTGTGGTTGTTTTCTTGACAACCATGGGATAGTGTCTCTACATAGTATTACGAGGTGTGGTTGTTTTCTTGACAACCATGGGGTTGTGTCTCTATTTAGTATTACGAGGTGTGGTTTTTTTTTTGACAGCCAGTAGGTTGTGTCTCTACTTAGTATTACAAAGTGTGGTTGTTTTCTTGACAACCAGTAGTTTGTGTCTCTGCACACGACCCCCATAATTCTGACGGTGGCGTGTACACCATCCACACCATCCAGTGACTGATATACTACCCGATCTATTTAGTTGCCCCTGACGACAATCAAGGTTGCCGGTGTTCTAACTCGGAATACAAAGGGACAGTGAGAAGGGCATCATTCCTGGTGGCGAGAGCGGTGGAGTTGTGAGAGGCACCTCCTCCCGTTGTCCTTCAAAAACGGCACGTGGACTCTAGACAGTTCGAGTTACAAACGAAAATGGTCCACTTCCTGGAAACCTGACGCTGTTTACAACAAGTGACATCAGAGCTGGGAATATAAGGTATGACCTTCAACTAAGAGCAGGCGTCTTTACCAATAACCCAGAGTTCAGCAGAAATCTACAAGAAACAAGAGTTCATACTGGAGTTCTGACTTTATTGTACATGTTAGTATGTGCCACGTTCCACGATCACCGTGAATGTATACGGCCGTCACGCGCTGTAACAATGATGGTTGTAATGACGCTGTGTACATCCCACGGAGGTCAATGACCTCCTCTCCGTACATAACTGTATCAACTCGTGACAGGAAGTGCTGACGGTCTACAGTGTCAGCCCACTGATGCGGTGGTATAACATGGCTACCCCACTCAGACTCCGAGCCGACCAGTCCCCGTATCCTCCTTCTGCTGAGGCATGGCGACAACAAGTGCCACCTTTTAACTTGTTTTGGTATGATTTAGGATCGCATCATTGGGCCTAGTGGTTAAAGCGTTCGCTCGTCACGCCGAAGGCCCGTGTTCGATTCCCCACATGGGTACAATGTGTGAAACCCATTTCTGGTGTCCACCGCTGTGATATTGCTGGAATATTGCTAAAAGCGGCATAAAAATAAATTCACTCACTCACACTCACTTGACCAGGGATGCGTGGCGACCGGATTAATTTACGGGTGATGTAGGAACATGGTGCATATTAACCCGTGAAGCAATGACAATGATCAAAACTGGAATTACCTACTTTCGAAACAAAAATACGAAGTTTATGTGCTCTTATACAGACATAATGCATGAGATCCTGACAAACTGGTCCACACAAATGTGATTCATATCGTCAATACTCAGAAACAGTCATTCGTTCTTTGGTACAGTCTTTGAATCAACGATCACTCTGCTCTCGAACGTCTTGAATAATCGATCAGTCCACGTTCCTTCTGATGTAATTGTCGCAAGATGGTATGTGATACTGTCACGTGATGGAAGGTGGTACTGTCACGTGATGGAAGGTAGACACTCAAAGAAATCTCTTCCTACACTTCGTCGTACGAGCTGCCGCGGCGTTTGACACAGCTGACTGTAAACATGGCTCCGTCCTGATGGACAAAGGTGATAAAGTGGTATACATGTACATATATGGATACACCCTCTGGACACATATATAGAACACAGACATAGGGGACACATACATGAAACACATATACACATGGAAACGAATAAGAGAAAGCATGGAAGTACAAGTGTTTCTTTATTTATTTCCAGACTGTCACCAACAGTGCAATTATAGCATGACAGGAAAGACGGAAAAGAGTATAGGAACACATGCGCTTTCGTGTGTTCCTTTCTTTGTTTCCATCAGTATATATCGGACACATACATGGAACACATATATAGAACACATACATGGGACGAAATATATAGGACACATACATGAGACACATGCACGTATATAGGACACATACATGGAACATATATAAAGGACACATACATGGAGCACATATATAAGACACATACATGGAACACATATATAGGAGACATACATGGAACACATATATAGTACACATACATGGACACAAATATAGGACACATACATGAGACACATGCACGTATATACGATACATACATGGAACACATATATAGGACACATACATGGAACAAATAAATAGGAGACATACCTGGAACACATATATAGGACACATAAAAAAGACGCATGCACGTATATAGGACACATACATGGAACACATATATAGGACACATACATGGAACACATATATAAGACACATACATGGAACACATATATAGGACACATACATGGAACACATATATAGTACACATACATGGACACATATATAGGACACATACATGTGACACATGCACGTATATAGGACACACACATGGAACACATATATAGGAGACATACATGGAACACATATATAGGACACATACATGGACACATATATAGGACACATACATGGAACACATATATAGGACACATACATGGAACACATATATAGGACACATACATGGAACACATATATAGTAGACACATACATGGAACACATATATAGGACACATACATGGAGCACATATATAGGACACATACATGGACACATATATAGGACACATACATGGAGCACATATATAGGGCACATACGTGTAACACATATATAGGACACATACATGGACACATATATACACATATATATATGGGACACATACATGGATATAGGACACATACATGGACACATATATATGACACATACATGAGACACATGCACGTATATACGACACATACATGGAACAAATAAATAGGAGACATACCTGGAACACATATATAGGACACATACAAAAGACGCATGCACGTATATAGGACACATACATGGAACACATATATAGGACACATACATGGAACACATATATAGGACACATACATGGAACACATATATAGGACACATACATGGACACATATATAGGACACATACATGGAACATATATATAAGACATATACATGGAACACATATATTAGACATATACATGAAGCACATACATAGGACACATACATGGAACACATATATAGCACACATATATAGGACACATACATGGAACACATATATAGGACACATACATGGAACACATATATAGGACACATACATGGAGCACATATATAGGACACATACATGGAACACATATATAGGACACATACATGGAACACATATATAGGACACATACATGGAACACATATATAGGACATACATACATGGATACATATATATATACATGACACATACATGGAACACATATATAGGGACACATACATGGACACATATAGGACACATACATGGAGACACATATATATAGGACACATACATGGACACATATATATAGGACACATACATGGAGACACATGCATATATAATGACACATATACATGGAACACATATATAGGACACATACATGGAACACATATATAGGACACATACATGGACACATATATAGGACACATACATGGAACACATATATAAGACACATACATGGAACACATATATAGGACACATACATGGAACACATATATAGGACACATACATGGAACACATATATAGGACACATACATGGAACACATATACATATAGACACACATACATGGACACATATATAGGACACATACATGGAACACATATATAGGACACATGGACATATATAGAGGACACATACATGGAACACATATAGACACATACATGGAACACACATATATAGGACACATACATGGAACACATATATAGACATATACATGGAACACATATATGGGGACACATACATGGACACATATATATATACATGGACACATATATGGGACACATACATGGAGCACATATATAGGACACATACATGTAACACATATATAGGACACATACATGGAACACATATATAGGACACATACATGGACACACATATATATAGGACACATACATGGAACACATATATAGGACACATACATGGAACACATATATAGGACACATACATGGACACATGCATATATAGGACACATACATGGAACACATATATAGGACACATACATGGAACACATATATAGGACACATACATGGAACACATATATAGGACACATACATGGAACACATATATAGGACACATACATGGAACACATATATAGGACACATACATGGACACATATATAGGACACATACATGGACACATATATAGGACACATACATGGAACACATATATTAGACATATACATGGAGCACATATATAGACACATACATGGAACACACACATACATATATATAGACACATACATGGAACACATATATAGGACACATACATGGACACACATATATAGGACACATACATGGAGCACATATATGGGACACATACATGGAGCACATATATAGGACACATACATATAGGACACATATATGGACACACATACATGGACACATATATAGGACACATACATGGACACACATATACATAGACACATATATGGACACATACATGGACACATATATAGGACACATACATGGAACACATATATAGGACACATACATGGAACACATATATAGGACACATACATGGAACACATATATATAGGACACATGGAACATGGACACATACATGGAACACATATATAGGACACATACATGGAACACATATATAGGACACATACATGGAACACATATATATGACACATACATGGAACACATATATAGGACACATACATAGACACATATATAGGACACATACATGGAACACATATATAGGACACATACATGGAACACATATATAGGACACATACATGGAACACATATATAGCACACATACATGGACACATATATACAGAGCACACATACATGGAACACATATATAGGGACACATATATAGGACATATACATGGACCACATATATAGGACACATACAAAAGACACATGCACGTATATAGGACATATACATGGAGCACATATTTAGGACCCATACATGGAACACATATATAGGACATATACATGGAACACATATATAGGACACATACATGGAACACATATATAGGACACATACATGGAACACATATATAGGACACATACATGGAACACATATATAGGACACATACATGGAACACATATATAGGACACATACATGGAACACATATATAGGACACATACATGGAACACATATATAGGACACATACATGGAACACATATATAGCACACATGCATGGAACACATATATAGGACACATACATGGAACACATAGAGTATGACCAGAAATTATTGAGAATTTTAGGAATATGTTTAATTAGATTTCTAGTATAAACAACCTTGACCAACTATCAAGTGCTTGGCTTCATTCAAGAGAGACAACTCCGTTAATCCTTTTTCATTACTTTGTGAAGAGTTGTCCCCCTTTATTAACTTGCTAGCAGACGACATTTTCAGTGATCCTCAGTATGGATGCTTTAGAGAAGAGGAAGCTATGTTTTAGAGTATTATAACAAGGACATCAGATCAGCTAAAGTGATTTCTAGTAGAACAGGCATCCCTTTGTCCACTGTTTATCGTGTTTTGAAAAATATTGCAAATGGATATGGCATTGAGCACCAGGGAGGCGCAGGTAGGCCCAGAAAATTGACTCTCGGTGACAGGAGGCGGCTTGGTATTCTTGTTTCTAAAAACAAACAGAAGGAGTTTAGAAAACTTAAGGCTGGATATGATTGATAGAGGAACTGTGGCTGTCTGTAAAGAGACAATTAGAACTGAGCTGCATGCAATGGGTTGGCAGAAAAGTCGAGGAATTCAATCACCGATCATGAAACCTGAACCAAAGGAGCGAAGGTTGAACTGGTGCTTACAGCATAGAAATTTTAATTGGGACAATGTGATTTTCTCAGATGAAAGTTCTGTGTGGCTGTTTCCTAATACACTGAAATTCTGGACCAAACAAACTGAAAAACCTTTGTATCAGCGCCCAAAGTACAGCCCGAAATTTAACGTGTGGGGTGGCATATCTGTGTTAGGGGCAACGCCCCTCTGTGTATTTGAAGGGAATATGAACAGTGAGCGGTACACAGATATTCTCGAGGGACATTTACTTCCATCTGCTCACGTGTTCTATGGAAATGTTTGGATTTTCCAGCAGGACAACAACCCAAAACATCGTTCAAAGCATTCACAGGCCTGGTTTGGACTCATAATATGACATTATTAGATTGGCCAAGCTATAGCCCTGACCTAAATCCAATAGAAAACGTTTAGGGGCTTATGAAGGAAAGTGTCAATAAGCAAAATCTGACAAATATTGCTGAAATGAAAGAAGAGATGGTCTGATATTGGGACAGCATGGACCACGACTTTCTAACTTCTTTGATCAGTAGTATGCCCCGCCGCATTGAAGCCTGCATTGCTGCCCATGGTGACCTGACAAAATACTAACTGTTCACCTGTCTTTGCATCTGGAGTTATGTTCTGCTAATATTCACATTTAATACGTGAGTAATGAGTGAAAAAAAAAATTACAATCTTAAATTCTCAATAATTTCTGGTTGTACTGTATATAGGAGACATACATGGAACACGTATACACGATACACTTATAAGACACATGTACAGGTCATATACATGGCGGTCGTACATAGGACACATATTACATGGGATATATACATAGGCCACGTATACAGGACACATACAGAGGACACATACATGTGGTATATACATAGGAGACGCATCCAGGACACATATTACATGGGATATATACATAGGACAGTGTACAGGACACATACAAGGACACATACTTGGGACATATATATATATTGCATAGATAAATAAAAACAGAATGCCGTTTTCTCCAACATGTTTCGTTCTTTACTCTTCAGGGGAGATTGTAGCGGTTACAGTATGACGTCATTACATATATATTGTGACGTCATAATAGGGACAACATTCTAGAGCGACAAGGTCACAGCTTGCAATGGTTTAACATTGGTTTGTACTTGTCTATGAAGTAGTGTTCTTTTAAAATTCGTTTTACTTTGTCCGAATTTTGAACTTGATAAAAAGGAAATATTGTAAATTTAACATCGTTTCCTTTCGCACAGACATCTAGATGTTCACTCAGTGGGATACATCGGGTTTCAGGACACTTTATTTGTTGTTTGTGGACACGAACCCGGGCTCTTAAATTTTCTGATTGACCAATATACTGTTCATTACAGCCTGTGCATGTTATGACATATATTATGTTTTTGCAAGAGCAAAAAAATTCTGTTTTACATAGAATTCTCCGTGTCTCGTGAAAGTTACAGAGTGTCCTTCAACAATATGTCGACACGTTCCACAGTTACCTCTGTTGCATCTAGACACAGTAGGATTTGATAAATTCTGTTTCTTTGAAATAAATTTGGCTTTTGTAAGTATCTTTTTAAGATTCTGATTTTGTCTTTTGCTATTTATTATTTTTCTAGATTTCAGCATAGATTTCAGTTTTTCATCTTGTTCTAAGATGCACATATTTGTTTTTTTTGCCCTTGCAAAAACATAATATATGTCATAACATGCACAGGCTGTAATGAACAGTATATTGGTCAATCAGAAAATTTAAGAGCCCGGGTTCGTGTCCACAAACAACAAATAAAGTGTCCTGAAACCCGATGTATCCCACTGAGTGAACATCTAGATGTCTGTGCGAAAGGAAACGATGTTAAATTTACAATATTTCCTTTTTATCAAGTTCAAAATTCGGACAAAGTAAAACGAATTTTAAAAGAACACTACTTCATAGACAAGTACAAACCAATGTTAAACCATTGCAAGCTGTGACAATGTCGCTCTAGAATGTTGTCCCTATTATGACGTCACAATATATATGTAATGACGTCATACTGTAACCGCTACAATCTCCCTGAAGAGTAAAGAACGAAACATGTTGAAAAACGAGTTCTGTTTTTATTTATCTATGCAATATTTATGACTGAACACCTGTACTGGACATTTTGTGAGAAAAGAATACCGGCATTCTGTTTTTATTTATCTATGCAATATTTATGACTGAACACCTGTACTACTTTGGACATTTTGTGCGTATATATATATATATATATATATATATATATATATATATATATATATATATATATATATATATAGGACATATCCACATACATGGAATATACATATAGGACACATTACTGGTATATAAGATACATACATGGGATATATACCTATAGACACATAGGATACGACAGGACACTGCTACAAAGAGGCGTACATCAGACCGTATTACCCTCGAGAGAAGCATACAACTTATAATATCCATTCTCTCCTTACCCTTACCAGTTCTGGCCAGAAGAGGGTAATCAAGTACCACTAACCTTGATCAGGCCCGGCAGGGCCGACCAGAATCCCCTGTTCGGAAACATCTCGACCCCCTCTTTCCCTCCACGGTACCGGTTGAAGGTCATCCCGACCACTAGGTAGATGAACCCAAACACGATCACCCTGGAAACAGTAGACATGACGAACCCAGTCATCCCTGCTCGGACAGCGTAAAACCATACTCACTCACTCACCTAATAGAGTCTTTCCTGAACCACCACAGGGTCACCACTAGACTCAGGCCAGACTATCAGGTGAGTGAGTATTGTTTTACCCCGCTTTTAGAGACACAAAACGTCTAGTGTTTCAATATATATTTATACATAAAGCCATTTATACAAAAAGGGAGCTGCGAGTTGATAATGGTTTATGTTCATTATGCGGTACAGTAGGTGAGAACATCTATCATGTACATATTGAATGTCCAACTAAAAAACTGTTTTGGAAAGAATTCATCAATCTCGTTAAATAATAGACTAGTACTGTTCAACATAACATATAAACTTTCTACTACAGATATTTTATTTTGCTGCAGTAGCAACCACCTACTCAATCACATGATTTTATTGGCTAAACGCCATATATTTGTAATGAAAATAAAGGGTTTGAACTCCAGGTTTAGTATCTATAAAGCAGTATAAAAAGATGTGTATCAAATTGAAAAATCTATTTCTTCGAAAAATATCAACATGGATTCATTTAATAGAAAATTGGATGTAATATCACCAGCGCTGTTACTGTTATGACATTATCTTACGATGATGCAGTACTTGCGTTTCATTGTGATGTCACTGTTATGACAGTATCTTACGATGATGCAGTACTTGCATTTCATTGTGATGTCACTGTTATGACATAATCTTACGATGATGCAGTACTTGCGTTTCATTGTGATGTCACTGTTATGACAGTATCTTACGATGATGCAGTACTTGCATTTCATTGTGATGTCACTGTTATGACTTTATCTTACGATGATGCAGAACTTGCATTTCACTGTGATTCCACTTAGTCTACTATTCCCAGAACATTATGTAACTGTGAATATGTGTTTGCCTTTTTATGTGTGTTGTCTCTCACTTAAAGTCTCGGTAAGGTGATGTATCCAACTGAAGTGAATAAATACTTGTAGCATAAGGGATTGCCTTTGCTATTTGGAATCTGGAAAGAGATAATGAAATTAATTTTTGTATCACCTAGTTATTACCTCTAATCTAAAATTTATGAATCTATTTGACATTGTTTCGGTAAATCCATGAAGATTTTTTTTTTTTGATTTTTTTTTTAATTGAATCGAAAAGATACAGATAAGGTTTGATTCACAAAAAATTAAACGTGCAGACGAAAGGAGTTTGAAAAGAGAAAGATACCGGTATAGACACAGGGTGCAGAAGGGCTTACTCACAAGGGAACAGAGAATTCCATTAAATACGAAATTTTTCATCATTTTCACCGAGAATATGTTTTTCTAGTTTGAAATAGTATTTTATGAAATATATAAGTTGGTTGATATTTAATTCCGTAAAGTCATATCTTGTTTTGTTAATATATTTCTTGATATTGATAAAAAGATGGTTAATCAGGACAGGTGCCTCCGGGTCTCCCAGCAGGAAATGTTCAACATTTATACTTAGATTACAGCTGGTTTTGTATCGATACCACTCAACAAATGTAGAGAGAAGGTGTTTTGTTTTTTCACAGAAATAGAATAAATGTTCTCAAGTTTCTCTTTCTTTGTTGCAGAGGGTACAGACATTATTATCACTGATACCTATATTAAACAGAGATGACTTAGTTGTAATTACTACTCGATGAATCAGTTTATACTGAAAATTCCTGGCTATATTTTCTATTGTAGTTTTATTTATCAATGCAAAACAGTCACGAAGATAGTCATCTGCTAGAGTAATATTAAGTTTGGTTTCCCATTTCAGTTGAAGATAATAGAGAGAACTTCCTTGACTTTCACATAGCTGAGTATATATACTGGCCACATAAAGAAACTGTGCACACAGAAAATATAAAGATAGGCAGACAGCGTCTTTATGCATAAATAAAGGTGTGAACATATCAAGTATTGGAGACAATCAAACGCTCATGCAGGTGCCAGGCGACGTGACGTCATTGATGGTGGCCTGTGGACTTGCAATGTGTTACTGCACGTGTAGCCTGTGCAGCTGCACACAACATGTGAAACTCAGAAATTGATGTCACTGTCGAAAGCTTGATCTTTGGTCATTCAAACGTTCACAAATTCACATGAAAAGTCACATGCACATCATGCCAAGATTAACATGTGTTCAACGTCATGAGGCCATTGGAATGGTTCGAGCAGGCATGAGCCAACAACAGATGGCAGCACATTTTCAATGCCATCGTAACACGATATCTGCATTGGTCAGGCGTTAGGGAAACAGTAATGACGTCACCGACCACCCACGTTCAGGGCGTCCCCGAGTAACGACGCCAAGACAGGACAGATGGATTCGGGTGACTCATATCAGACACAGGTTCCAGACGGCAGTGACCACGTCCCAAACCATTCCCCAGGCCTTCATTTGGAAAATTTGGTAGCCTCTATGCGTCGTCGATGCACTGCTGTGCTTCACGCGCATGATGGTCATACCCGTTATTGACTTTGTGACTTCGACGTGTGACCCCCGACTCAATTTTGAACTTCTGACGTCATCGTTACGGATATTGTTCATGTTCTTTTGACATGTTGTTGAAGCCCGATACTTCAGCTTATAAAGTGTCTACATCATGTCGTCTTTTCTGTGTTGCATTCCAATTCTGAAGGAATTTTCTGTGTGCACAGTTTCTTTTTGTGGCTAGTATATGAATTTACAGTCAGCTGACTTGAGTATTTGTATGAAAGTATTACATTGAGTGTTTACTGATTCTATCTTTTTGATTTGTATCTTTGGTGGCTTTGATGCAATGTTTGGGTATATATTGAAAACAATCTGAAATAAAGGAGATGTTTCGTTAAGATTAAATTCTTCTTTAAGCGTATCAAAGGACTTGAATTCACCGTTGTTCGAGACAATGTCTTTCATATATTTCATGCTTTTTTTATCAATGAGACAAACAATTCAATATCGGTAACAGGTACAAAATTAAGAAGTGGCAAGCACATAAAATCTTCAACACTTTCACTAATTTCAGAATGGATACATGCATAGCATGAAACAACATCTTTCCTAAAAAAGATTTTAATATTTTTAGAGTAGGATTGTATTTTTTCCACTTGAAAGCTGAATAGGTTAATGTCACCAAAAGGTGATAATGTCTCGAATGCTAAGTGCTGCCACAACCCTTTTGATGTCAGTAATCTCCTTATCCATTTGATTTTCATGTAGTTACAGAATGATATAACATCGATCATTTTTAAGCCACCCTTACAGTAGTCGTTTATCAACATTTTCCTTTGGATTTTATCGCGCTTCCCAGTATTCAAACGTTTGAAAAAGAGTTAGATGGATTAGGGAGGGCGATAATCAAGTGTGTAAAAAGGGGGATAATTTGAGTTTTAAGTATCGTTATTCTGCCTATCAAAGTTAATGATCTATTTGACCACGAGAATAATATTTTTCTAATTTTTGAAAACTGCGGTTCGAAATTTAATGTAATCTTTTCTTCTAAATTTGTTTAAAAAATTATTCCCAGGATTTTGAATTGTTCTTCGGACCAGCGAAGAGGTATATGTGGACAGAGTTGTTCATTTGTGTCTCGTTTGGACCCTATCCAGACAGCTATAGTTTTATCACAGCTTAGATTTAGACTGACTGACTGACTGAGTTTGGTTTTACGCCGCTTTTAGCAATATTCCAGCAACATCACGGCGGGGGACACCAGAAATGGGCTTCACACATTGTACCCATGTGGGGAATCGAACCCGGGTCTTCGGCGTGACGAGCCAACGCTTTAACCATTAGGTTACCCCACCGCCCCCTTAGATTTAGACCAGATACTATTGCAAATGTTTTAATAATATGAATTTGCTCTGACAGTCCTCGTTCAGATCCATCTAAAGTGAAATTATTATCGTCTGCGTATTGGAAGATGAGATATTCTATATCTTTTATAGTAATACCATTGATATGCTTATTAGATTTAATTGCAAAAGCCAATAATTCGACACATGTAACAAAGAGGTATGGCGCTACTGGGTCTCTTTGACGACACCCGCGTCCTAAGGAAAAGAAGTTTGACAACAAACCCGATAAAATTGAAGCACTACAGCTATTACGCTGAAAGAGTTTAATCCAATTTCCAAGTACAGGGCCAAAATTAAATACTTCCAGTACCTTGTCAATAAAGTCCCATTCGACAGTATCGAATGCCTTCTCAAAATCTATTGCAACTAAAAGACCAGGTAGTTTATATTCTTCACAATAATTCATTAAGTCATGGTCACCCCAGACCATGACACTCCCACCACCCAAAGGTCTGTCTGAACCACACATTCATCAGCATAACGTTCACCACGTCTACGCCAAACACGTAATCGGCCGTCAGCATTACGTAGATCAAGACGTGACTCGTCAGTGACTACCGCGTCATGCCATTGTTGTAACCTTTACTGAAAATGCCTGCTAGCCCATTGTATACGCTCATTACGGTGTCTGTCAGTCAGAATTGGTCAAACATAAGGACGTCGAGCATGGAGCCCGCAGCGTGTAGACGGCGTCGCATGGAGTCAGCGCTGATGACCCTCCACGTCAATCTTGAACTAGTGCAGCAGTCCTGGCAGTCGGCAGTGTTCAATCACTGATATGGACAAGGTCAATATGGCGATCCTGATGGAGCGTCGTAACACGTTGTTGCCAAGGTCATTGAAGGTCACGGGTGCAGCCTGTCTACTGATGTCGTCTATGAAGCCTAACGATGGTGGAGTGGCCAAGTCCAAGTTGTCGAGCAATATGTCTGCTGCTGGTGCCAACCTGAATCATGCCTAGTGCACGTTCTCTTTCGTGAGGTGTTAACCTCGGCATCTCGGTCCTTCGTTTCACAATCGTTAGTGAAGCAATGAGAATCGGTTCTCATACACCTGATTTTAATGTCACAGTCAGTATGATTTCAGAATGAAATTCGCGCTTTTTTCATGGCGTGGCTGCATGTTGATGCATTTTGGAATTAAGAGTCATACTGTGGACAGGAATTTGTTTCTAAAGCATTTTTTCAATCGGACATGCCCTTCGACTTCATGTTAGTTATATTCATTGATCATTGTCATGCTGAAATCCATCTTGATGAAAATATGGACAATTTTAGACTGGTGCGTTTTCAATGATGTTCAGTATACTAACGGAAAAAAGTAACTGTGCATAACATAGAATTCCCAAAAATAAATGTAATTTGAAACGTTATATAAATAAACCCAAATAAACATGTGGCAAAGCACTTTGCATGAAATTTGATGTCACGTATCGCGCGTGGCACGTGCACTTTGTGCACAATGAACTTACTCATTATTTGCATGCTTTATTACACCTGATGTTCACACACCTGATATTGAAAAAAGAAGAACCTTTGATTATTCTCTAACCTCTGAATACTGTGGAAAGGGCGTTGATTGCAGCTTAAACTGCGCGTACGTCACGACACGACTTTCAGAAAATAAGCGTATCCGCGCCGTGGTTGTGCTGGAGGCTGGAATGGCCCAAAATGAAGTGACCCCGGCATGTTTGTGTCCATTGAAACACGATCTCATCTCTATGGTGAGGTTTTAAACATAATGTGCACAAGAGAGATTTGCCTCGGACCGGCAGTCCACGCGTGACGTAACGTCAGCAAGATAAACACATTCGTGACTCTAAACACGACTATTCCATGTGGCTACAAAATAAACACTGGGTGTGTATAAACTTTCCCTGGAAGGCCGTGGCTTCTGCCGTCAGTGCTCGCGGAATACTCAGCACTGGATTGTGGCTATAATACCCATGACTACTCACAAAATCAGGAGTATCGTGCCTCCGCTCAGCCCTTCGTCAGCCGGACCAAAGGCGGAACATCCGTCTGCACATGCGCACTGGCTTCTTAATTCCATATACTGTAAACAAAAACGGATATATCAAAGTAAATAAAAGCTGGATGCTTAAATTTTAATGTACTTACACCAAAATGACATATATATTTTCCGTTATTCGAGTGATGACGAGGTCGGGAGAATTCATCAGTTCCACTTATAACATTGCTGTGAATGTGACAATGTTCAAATTAATAACTATTTTTAAAATGGGTCATTTTTGCATAAATCATAAGTAACAAATATTGTAAATAACAATGGAGAAGTCGAAAGATAGGAATATAGGTGAATAACTAGTTTAAGACATCCGCGTTAAGATTATCAAGGTAATACAGGTACTGTATGGAGAAGGTAAAGATCGAGATGTCCGTGTTTGAGAAAGCAAGAGCCGATGGCAGCTGTGGTGTCACGTACATACTGCTGCGGGTTTGCCTCCCCTTGAGCTGTCAAAGTGGCCTCTTCTTGGTCGGGGTCACACACAACTGTCACGAAAGTGTTTCTGCAAAAGGAGGCACAGGCAAAACATTGTATTTGATTTTTTCTGAAAGAACTCATTCAGAGATTCTAGCTGGCGATCATAGTGAGTGAGTTAATGAGTGAGTGAGTATATTTTACGCCGCTTAGCAATATGCCAGCAATATGACACCAGAAATGGAGTTCCCACATTGTACCCATGTGGGGAATTGAACTGGGGTCTTCGGCGTGACGAGCGAACGTTTTTACCACAAAGCTACATCAGGCCCCCAGGGTGCTCATAAGTTCTCCGAGTTTACTACATTCATAACCTTCAGCCGTGGGGGCCCTACCAATTTACGCTTGTCAGAGGGGTACACAAAACACGTGATTTTAACTTTCTGTTGTCATACTTCCCTTTAAGTGGAAGCCTTGGTGGCTGAGTGGGTTGGATCGCTGACTTTGTGTGCTGGCAATCATGTGCCTGCTCGGAGAGTGTAGGCTCGAATCGCGGGTGGGACTTAACTCAAAAAAGTACGAGAATCTGTTTACATGCCCTGAGCTCAGAAATATTACAGCCGCCCACCTCAGTATGTCTGTCGTGGAGGTGTAGGACACCTGAATGTTGTTGCCGTCGTAGGACCACGTGGCCGATTCTTGTGCCCCCAAGTTGTAGGACTCGGAAATATCGGGAGTTGTCTGACATGCCTGCAGGGTACACAATCAAACAGTCAATGTTTTAAACAGAAGAATCCACACGTTATAGGGAAATAACAGCGACATTTAGGGGATAGTGATGAAATGTTTTACTGTGACAATTCGCTGTTGTGAGGCTGTATATCCACCTATGGTATGTCAGTTTTTTAAGACATTATGTGAATATCTGTAAAAATAGATAGGGGAAACATTACAGCATAACCAGATAGGGAAAACATTATTGTATCAACAGATAGGGAAACATTATTGTATAAACAGATAGGGAAGCATTACAGTATAACCAGACAGGGAAAACATTATTGTATAACCAGATAGGGAAATATTACAGTATAACCAGATAGGGAAATATTACAGTATAACCAGATAAGGAAAACATTATTGTATAACTAGATAGGGAAAACATTATTGTATAACCAGACAGGGAAAACATTATTGTATAACCAGATAGAGAAAACATTACAGTATAACCAGATAGGGAAAACATTACAGTATAACCAGATAGGGAAATATTACAGTATAACTAGATGGTGAAAACAGTACAGTATAACCAAATAGGGAAATATTACAGTATAACCAGATAGGGAAAACATTATTGTATAGCCAGATACGGAAACATTATTGTATAACCAGACAGGGAAAACATTACAGTATAACCAAATAGGGAAAACATTATTGTATGACCAGACAGGGAAAACATTACAGTATAACCAGATAGGGAAAGCATTATTGTATAACCAGATAGGGAAAACATTATTGTATAACCAGACAGGGAAAACATTATTGTATAACCAGATAGGGAAAACATTACAGCATAACCAGATACGAAAAACATTATTGCATAACCAGATAGGGAAAACATTACAGTAACCAGATAGGGAAAACATTATTGCATAACCAGATAGGGAAAACATTACAGTATAACCAGATAGGGAAAACATTATTGTATAACCAGAAAGGGAAATATTACAGTATAACTAGATGGTGAAAACAGTACAGTATAACCAGATAGGGAAATATTACAGTATAACCAGATAGGGAAAACATTATTGTATAACCAGATAGGGAAAACATTATTGTATAACCAGATAGGGAAAACATTACAGTATAACCAGACAAGGAAAACATTACAGTATAACCAGATAGGGAAAACATTACAGTATAACCAGATAGGGAAATATTACAGTATAACTAGATGGTGAAAACATTACAGTATGAACAGATAGGGAAATATTACAGTATAACCAGATAGGGAAAACATTATTGTATAGCCAGACAGGGAAAACATTACAGTATAAACAAATAGGGAAAACATTATTGTATGACCAGACAGGGAAAACATTACATTATTGTATAACCAGATAGGGAAAACATTATTGTATAACCAGATAGGGAAAACATTACAGTATAACCAGATAGGAAAAACATTACAGTATAACCAGATAGGGAAAAACATTACAGTATAACCAGATAGGGAAAACATTACAGTATAACCAGATAGGGAAAACATTATTGTATAACCAGACAGGGAAAACATTACAGTATAAACAGATAGGAAAAAACATTAATAACATTAGGGAAAACAGTATAAACAGATAGGGAAAACATTATTGTATAACCAGATAGGGAAAACATTATTGTATAACATTAGATAGGGAAAACATTATTGTATAAACAGATAGGGAAAACATTATTGTATAACCAGATAGGGGAAACATTACAGTATAAACAGATAGGGAAAACATTATTGTATAACCAGATAGGGAAAACATTATTGTATAAACAGATAGGGAAAACATTATTGTATAACCAGATAGGGAAAACATTACAGTATAACCAGATAGGGAAAAACATTATTGTATAACAAGATAGGGAAAACATTATTGTATAACTAGATAGGGAAAACGTATAAACAGATAGGGTAAACACATTACAGTATATAAAAACATTATTGTATAACATCATTATAGATAGGAAAACAGTAACCAGATAGGGAAAACGTTATTGCATAACAAGATAGGGAAAACATTTACAGTATAACCAGGTGGGGAAAACATTATTGCATAAACAGATAGGGTAAACATTATTGTATTAACAGATAGGGAAACATTACAGTATAACCAAATAGGGAAATATTACAGTATAACTAGATGGTGAAAACATTACAGTATAACCAGATAGGGAAATATTACAGTATAACTAGATGGTGAAAACATTACAGTATAACCAGATAGGGAAACATTACAGTATAACCAGATAGGGAAAACATTATTGTATAAACAGATAGGGAAATATTACAGTATAACCAGATAGGGAAAACATTACATTACAGTATAACCAGATAGGGGAAAACATTACAGTATAACCAGACAGGGAAAACATTACAGTATAACCAGATAGGGAAATATTACAGTATAACTAGATGGTGAAAACATTACAGTATGAACAGATAGGGAAATATTACAGTATAACCAGATAGGGAAAACATTATTGTATAGCCAGATAGGGGGAAACATTATTGTATAACCAGATAGGGAAAACATTACAGTATAACCAGATAGGGAAATATTACAGTATAACTAGGGATTACAGTATAAACCAAAACATTACAGTATAAATGGTGAAAAACAGATAGGAAAATATTACAGTATAACCAGATAGGGAAAACATTATTGTATAGTAGATAGGGAAACGTATAACGATATAAACATTATTGATAGATATAGGTAAACATTACAGTATAACCAGATAGGGAAAACGTTATTGCAGATAGGGAACAAGATAGATAGGGAAACAGTATAAACAGATAGATATAAAACGTTATTTATTGCATAACAAGATAGGGAAAACATTTACAGTATAACCAGGTGGGGAAAACATTATTGTATAAAGAGATCGGGTAAACATTATTGTATTAACAGATAGGGAAACATTACAGTATAACCAAATAGGGAAATATTACAGTATAACTAGATGGTGAAAACATTACAGTATAACCAGATAGGGAAATATTACAGTATAACTAGATGGTGAAAACATTACAGTATAACCAGATAGGGAAACATTACAGTATAACCAGATAGGGAAAACATTATTGTATAAACAGATAGGGAAATATTACAGTATAACCAGATAGGGAAAACATTACAGTATAACCAGACAGGGAAAACATTACAGTATAACCAGATAGGGAAATATTACAGTATAACTAGATGGTGAAAACATTACAGTATGAACAGATAGGGAAATATTACAGTATAACCAGATAGGGAAAACATTATTGTATAGCCAGATACGGAAACATTATTGTATAACCAGACAGGGAAAACATTACAGTAAGCCAGATAGGGAAAACATCATTGTATGACCAGACAGGGAAAACATTACAGTATAACCAGATAGGGAAATATTACAGTATAACCAGATAGGGAAATATTACAGTATAACCAGATAGGGAAATATTACAGTATAACTAGATGGTGAAAACATTACAGTATAACCAGATAGGGAAACATTACAGTATAACCAGATAGGGAAAACATTATTGTATAAACAGATAGGGAAAACATTACAGTATAACCAGATAGGGAAAACATTACAGTATAACCAGACAGGGAAAACATTACAGTATAACCAGAGAGGGAAATATTGCAGTATAACTAGATGGTGAAAACATTACAGTATGAACAGATAGGGAAATATTACAGTATAACCAGATAGGGAAAACATTATTGTATAGCCAGATAGGGAAACATTATTGTATAACCAGACAGGGAAAACATTACAGTATAACCAGATAGGGAAATATTACAGTATAACTAGATGGTGAAAACATTACAGTATGAACAGATAGGGAAATATTACAGTATAACCAGATAGGGAAAACATTATTGTATAACATCGTATAAACAGATAGGGTAAACATTACAGTATAACCAGATAGGGAAAACGTTATTGCATAACAAGATAGGGAAAACATTTACAGTATAACCAGGTGGGGAAAACATTATTGTATAAAGAGATCGGGTAAACATTATTGTATTAACAGATAGGGAAACATTACAGTATAACCAAATAGGGAAATATTACAGTATAACTAGATGGTGAAAACATTACAGTATAACCAGATAGGGAAATATTACAGTATAACTAGATGGTGAAAACATTACAGTATAACCAGATAGGGAAACATTACAGTATAACCAGATAGGGAAAACATTATTGTATAAACAGATAGGAAAACATTACAGTATAACCAGATAGGGAAAACATTACAGTATAAGGACCAGACAGGGAAAACATTACAGTATAACCAGATAGGGAAATATTACAGTATAACTAGATGGTGAAAACATTACAGTATGAACAGATAGGGAAATATTACAGTATAACCAGATAGGGAAAACATTATTGTATAGCCAGATACGGAAACATTATTGTATAACCAGACAGGGAAAACATTACAGTATAACCAGATAGGGAAAACATCATTGTATGACCAGACAGGGAAAACATTACAGTATAACCAGATAGGGAAAAATTACAGTATAACCAGATAGGGAAATATTACTGTATAACCAGATGGTGAAAACATTACAGTATGAGCAGATAGGGAAATCTTACAGTGTAACCAGATAGGGAAAACATTATTGAATAGCCAGATACGGAAACATTATTGTATGACCAGACAGGGAAAACGTTACAGTATAACCAGATAGGGAAAACATTATTGTATAACCAGATAGGGTAAACATTACAGTATAACCAGATAGGGAAAACATTACAGTATAACCAGACAGGGAAAACATTACAGTATAACCAGATAGGGAAATATTACAGTATAACTAGATGGTGAAAACAGTACAGTATAACCAGATAGGGAAATATTACAGCATAACCAGATAGGGAAAACATTATTGTATAACCAGATAGGGAAAACATTATTGTATGACCAGACAGGGAAAACATTACAGTATAACCAGATAGGGAAATATTACAGTATAACTAGATGGTGAAAACATTACAGTATAACCAGATAGGGAAATATTACAGTATAACCAGATAGGGAAAACATTATTGTATAACCAGATAGGGAAAACATTATTGTATAACCAGATAGGGAAAACATTACAGTATAACCAGATAGGGAAATATTACAGTATAACCAGATAGGGAAATATTGCAGTATAACTAGATGGTGAAAACATTACAGTATGAACAGATAGGGAAATCTTACAGTATAACCAGATAGGGAAAACATTATTGAATAGCCAGATACGGAAACATTATTGTATAACCAGACAGGGAAAACATTACAGTATAACCAGATAGGGAAAACATTATTGTATAACCAGATAGGGTAAACATTACAGTATAACCAGATAGGGAAAACATTATTGTATGACCAGACAGGGAAAACATTACAGTATAACCAGATAGGGAAAACATTTTGTATAACCAGACAAGGAAAACATTACAGTATAAACAGACAGGGAAAACATTACAGCATAACCAGATAGGGAAAACATTATTGTATGATCAGACAGGGGAAACTTTATTGTGTGACCAGATAGGGAAAACATTATTGTATGACCAGACAGGGAAAACATTACAGTATAACCAAACAGGGGAAACATTATTGTGTGACCAGACAGGGAAAACATTACAGTATAACCAGACAGGGGAAACATTATTGTTACCAGACAGGGAAAACATTACAGTATAACTAGATGGGAAAACCGTTACAATATAACTTGATGTGGAAAACATTATGGTATAACTAGATACGGAAAATATTACAGTATAACTAGATGGGAAAACCGTTACAGTATAACTAGATGGGGAAAACATTACGGTATAACCAGACAGGGAAAACATTACGGTATAACCAGACAGGGAAAACATTACAGTATAACCAGATAGGGAAATATTACAGTATAACTAGATGGGGAAAACATTACGGTATAACCAGATAGGGAAATATTACAGTATAACTAGATGGGGAAAACATTACAGTATAGCTAGATATGGTGGACATGGTCACAGTGCTATCAGTGTGTGTAGTCATGGTAACAGTATGATGTGTGTATAACACCCCAGATGATGTCATGGTCGTAAGGTAGGGACGCTCACGGCGACGTTCGTGCAGGTGCCAGTGCTGAAGGCGAAGCAGGGGTTGTAGTTGTAGAGGAAGCTGTCGGAGGACGCTGATATCCCTTGAAATCTGAAATACGTCAAAATAATGGGTTTACGTGGATGACATTTTCATCATCTGTGTCGTCAACGTGTTCAAAAGGTGACCATACACCTCGTAAGTATCCAGTACAACAGTTTCCAATAGTATGGTGTTCAATCATTCAAGACATCTTTCTCGGAATGATGAAACGACCAGTCACACAGCTGTGCGGTTCGGGACAGGGAATGTGTTGGAACAACCTGGTTTATAGTAGGACCTTGCATCCCGACGACGCAGGTCGATGCTTTCTATTTCAGTCACTGGATTATCTGACCGCCGACATATAGATATGAATACTCTGTGTCTTTGTGGAACGCAAATAGTGGATACTACACTTTCTCAGAAAGGTACACATTATAGTATAGTTTATGGTGTTAAGTCCCGACCGGGATTCGAACCCACACCTTTCTCAAAGACATTGTGAAAGAGACTAAACCTGATTATTTTATTCTGTGCGTACAACAAGCTACGAAGAATGGAAGAGCCCTTGTCGGTCTCTCAGTCATAGAACCGCATTCCCTTTCTAAAACATCAAACCCCCAAACTCTCACTGTGATAAAGAAGTTGTTCATCCATACATTGTCATCCTTCCTCATTGATCCAACTTCTAAATTCCTCTCAAAGACGTTCAACTGTAGTGCTAAGAAAACACCATCATGATTCCATGTTCGGACATATAGCAACAGTACATACATTTCTAAATATTGTGATTACTTATACTATATAAACCCATGAAGATCCGGTCTAGAATTAAACTTCAGTAACCCATGCTTGTCTCAACCCGTGAAGGTCCGGGTTAGAATATTGATCTTCAGTAACCCATGCTTGTCTCAACCCGTGAAGGTCCGGGTTAGAATATTGATCTTCAGTAACCCATGCTTGTCTCAACCCGTGAAGGTCCGGGTTAGAATATTGATCTTCAGTAACCCATGCTTGTCTCAACCCGTGAGGTCCGGGTTAGAATATTGATCTTCAGTAACCCATGCTTGTTGTAAGAGGCGACTAACGGGATCGGGTGGTCAGGCTCGCTGACGTGGTTGACACATGTCATCGGTTCCCAATTGTGCAGATCGATGCTCACGCTGTTGATCACTGGACTGTCTGGTCCAGACTCGATTATTTACAGACCGCCGCCATATAGCTGGAATATTTGCTGAGTGCGGCGTAAAACTAAACTCACTCATTCACAATACTACATAACATATATTCTGAAAGTTCTAAATACTATTAGTGTTAAGCCCATTTCTGGTGTCCCCCGCCGTGATATTGCTGGAATATTGCTAAAAGCGGCGTGAAACTAAACTCAGTCAGTCAGTCTAAATACTATTAACAATAGTATTTGCCAGTTATCCAGCTCGAAGTTCAATATCTCTGTGTTGATAAACATCAAGTCATACATATTTATAGATAAACACTGTTCATTTAACATCTATATCCAACCTGGCGCCTCCGTCTTGGTTACCGAGGCTGGTGAGGTCCACGGTGCCACTGCCATCGTCGAAGGTGCAGGAGCAGGGGCCGTTGCCGACACATTGTTTGCCGAGACAGGGATAAATGAGCAGACAGATGGAGACGATGAGATTCACTGTAGACATCTTGTGTGACGGCATCCTGACGTAGTATCTCGCGTGACCATACATCCACCGCCTTGTGATACGAGAACAAAGGTTTCAGCGCAGAGTGGTGTGTGATAAAGATAGTATACACTGTGTGATAAAGATCGTATACACATGGCATGTGTTATCTGTGCTGACGGGATACTTATCGCAGCATTGTGAGTGAGGTTGACTAGTCCGAGTGGGTGAGTGAGTGAGTTAGTGACGATCAAGCATTTCAACCACTAGGCTACCCTACAGTCCCTTCTTAATGAGTGAGTGAGTTTGGCTAAACAATATTTTGAATAGTATGATAGGGGTGAGGTGGGCGCCAGGCTAGTGATCCAGCGAGATTGAGGTGTGGGATCGAGCCCACCTGTGACCGGGTGTAAAAACCTTGGAGTCAACTTTGTGTGCAGACTCTTTCAGTGTTGTCACAACCAGTACAGTACACAACCATGTGCTCTTAAAAGAACCGTTGGTATATAACCAGGTGGTGGCCACATACCTCGTTGCAGTACAGCAACGTGCAGTAAACTTGGACAAAGTACGTGACTATGTGTTCCCGTCCACCCAGCTGTGAATGGGTACCTCGTAAGGATGGGAAAGCCGCAATAAATCCATGTGTCTAGTGGCTGCAAGAGTTGTATGTTCCCCAGGGAGTTGAGATTGATAGGTACGATGTGCCGCTGAGATTGACATCCAGTGATCAGGGGAAAACAATACCACCGCCTCGAGCATGTACTGGTTGCTTGGTTATGTGCGCTATAGAAATATCCTATAATAACAATAGTAACAATAATGGTGATACTTGATGATGTCATGCGATAGTGTCACGTGATGGTGTCCCGCATGGGTAAATGCACAGTGAGAAAGCTCCTTACAGGTGTCTCCCGCCGTCATATTACTGGAATATTGTTAAAAGCGGCGTAAAACCATACTCACTCTTGATTGCGGCATGAACATGTACACATCTGTTATACACATTAAGGTCAGTTTTGATTTCATTTACAAGGGTATAAACTTATCATATTTTCTTACCGTAATTTTAATTATCATTTGATGAAGAAGTACAAAGTGAAGGTAATTTTAAAACAAAATTGACATTTTGAACAAGAATTATTTTGGCTGCTGAAAAGACTCCTTCGTGGATCATATTACACAATGTTTCTCTATGTGTAGTTCCTTTGTTTTCAGTTGTGATTACTTTTAAAATGATATGAATATGAAATCCGATGTTCTCTATTCATCTCCTGCCTTAACAGAGCATAAATTCTGTGCATTGTGTGTATAACTTCAAAATGCATTTCATGTACATGTTCTGCCATGAAGTTTGCAAAAGACGTTCAAAAGCATCTAAAGAATGGTGCATTGTACTGTGAAGCATTTCGAGTTGAGGGTCATCTCAAAAATAAATTCTCGCAAAGACGCGAGGGCCTGTGGGTGATAATATAATTTATATATTGGGGCATATGCACTAACTTACTACTGATGCAAAAAAAAAATCGATAATAGAAACTTCGAGGCGAACAGCTTGCAAACAGACAACAATTTCCATATATGGAATGTTATACCATACATCGAAAACTGTCGCACGCGATGTTGTCGGCGTTTGCCGAACTGGTTTCAATCACAAGTTGTGCAGAGGATATTTGTTAAAGAGAGCTCCAAGGGACATAACTCTATGGGGTTCGCTTGAAATAATGTTCGGCCGGTAGAGGGCCCCGAGAGTCGATTTAAAGTTGCATTAATTCATTGGAACTTTTTAATTTGATATTGTAATCTAAATACGTAATTATTTTTGGAATAAATTATATGGTAGCTTCCCCGTAGGCTGACAGCTAGTATTATTCAGAGAAATGCATTAATTTATTTAGAGAAATGTGGTGTGTCATACTGCCTTTAGCCTCAACTGATTTGTGACCTGAGCTCCGTGCACAGGACCACACACCACCACGTTTGCAAGGCTGTGCTGTGGTATGATACCACCACATCAAACCGGCTATACCACGACATTGTGGGACACATCCCGTCCACACGGTAGCTAACATTTCTGTCAAATTTTAAGTTTCTAAAGAAATGATCAGATGATGCCAGACAAGCTATGGCTAATGAGCACGTGTGATGCAAGCCTTTGATGTGCTAACAGGCTGCATGATAACGGTACAACCACCAGTCGTGGTTATCTGATCCGGTATTCCCTGTACGACTCACACGCGTGATAGATCTTGAAAGGTTGCTAATACATTGCAGCATTTATGATAGGGACCCGATATCTATTTCTAGGGCTGCACGGTATTACCGGTATACCGGTAAACCGCAATACGACATTGTAACAATTACGGATATCGCGATACGTTTATGATGTACCGGTATACCGACACAGATTTATTTGTTACATTTTCGGTTAATCCTTTGATCGATGGTTATAATGTTGAATATTTACTCCAGACACAAGAATGCCAAATGGGAACCTTTGTCGGTTAATCTAAGTGGTGTTACCACTAATTATACCTGTTATAAATTCATTAACTGACCATCAAGTGAATGATGACAAAAAACATGTGTAGGTTTATACCACCTAACATGGGTTACAACGAGGGAGTATTCATTGCTGTATTGCATGCAATTTTAATTGCATGTGAAAACTTATGGGTCGACACTGTTTTGAGAATACAAACAGAACTTCATTGTTGCATAAGAAATACATATAAGCATTTGCTGTGTGCTAAAACTGTATGTACCTATTTACTTAAGTAAAATTTCAGATTCTTCTAGCAATGGCAAAATAGGGTTGTTTAGTTTACCGATTCAAATAAATCAAATGTCAATTTTAATATCATACGTAACAGACGTCATAGTTTTACATGACATGATTAAATATCGAGGTAAAAAACACAGAAATGGGATCAATTTGAATCAGTCATTATACAAATAAGGCCTAACGACACCAAGCGATTTTGACAGAATCGTCTATGAAAACAAGTTGTAACTCGGAAACTAGGCAAAGCAGGAGACAAAATTATATCGACAGTAGATTGTGAGAACATATAGCTTTAATTTTCCACAACAGTTGTCACGATTTCAGGTTTATACAAACTGTAAACAAGATAATTTACCCCTGAAATGTAGATGAATTCTGCTATCGGCCCTCATATCTATTCCTCATATGACGTCACAGAGACGCCCCGCTCTGATTGGTTGAAATTTCGTTCGCGGGTGAGAATTGTGCACCGTTGTCAAAAAGGTCGATTTAAGTTGATTAAAGATCGAAGTGAGTATTTTTAATGACGGGGTTTCATTTATAGCGATGCCAGTTAGTGATTTATGCATTTGTACCCCCCTAGAGTATATGTGATCTTTAATTAATCTTTAGATAATAATTTTCTGATTACGTAAAAATGAAAATATAAAAGAAACAGGTAAGAGGATATTATGACATCTTACAAATGAATTAAAATAGCGGGAGTTTTCGTCTCCTTCCTGGTTTAACTGGACATTATAAGTGTGTAAACTTGTATTTTTATTAGAAATAAACTTATTTACGTTGAAGTTGTATTATTTGAATAATATGTTAAAAATACCTTTGGTATTTATCAACAGTTGGATTAGACCTGAAATTTTTTAATGGTGTATGACATATAGTAGCAATAATGTTTCAAAGCTGATATTTTCCTTGACAAAAGTAGGCTTCTATCTTATTATAAGGCTGTTTTTTCATTATTCTATTCCGTCTAAAGAAAGTTTACTCTACCTAATACAGAGTGACGTTAGCCCATCTTGAGTGCTTTGTTAAATCATTTCTTTATGAGAAAGTGTACCCAACGTCCAAGGTAATGTTAATACAAAGACATAGGTGCATAAATCATTGTTTTAATTAGAATGTTCACTTCAAGATCATGACTTCAATTAATTTTTTCTCTTGAAATTATTTGAAATTATTTGAAATTCAACATCCTTTGCTCGATCGTATACACATGGCATGTGTTATCTGTGCTGACAGGATACTTATCGCAGCATTGTGAGTGAGGTTGACTAGTCCGAGTGGGTGAGTGAGTGAGTAAAGTGACGATCAAGCATTTCAACCACTAGGCTACCCTACAGTCCTTTCTTAATCAGTGAGTGAGTTTGGCTAAACAATATTTTTGAATAGTATGATAGGGGGTGAGGTGGGCGCCAGGCTAGTGATCCAGCGAGATTGAGGTGTGTGGGATCGAGGCCCACCTGTGACCGGGTGTAAAAACCTTGGAGTCAACTTTGTGTGCAGACTCTTTCAGTGTTGTCACAACCAGTACAGTACACAACCATGTGCTCTTAAAAGAACCGTTGGTATATAACCAGGTGGTGGCCACATGAATACCTCGTTGCAGTACAGCAACGTGCAGTAAACTTGGACAAAGTACGTGACTATGTGTTCCCGTCCACCCAGCTGTGAATGGGTACCTCGTAAGGATGGGAAAGCCGCAATAAATCCATGTGTCTAGTGGCTGCAAGAGTTGTATGTTCCCCAGGGAGTTGAGATTGATAGGTACGATGTGCCGCTGAGATTGACATCCAGTGATCAGGGGAAAACAATACCACCGCCTCGAGCATGTACTGGTTGCTTGGTTATGTGCGCTATAGAAATATCCTATAATAACAATAAAGTAACAATAATGGTGATACTTGATGATGTCATGCGATAGTGTCACGTGATGGTGTCCCGCATGGGTAAATGCACAGTGAGAGCTCCTTACAGGTGTCTCCGCCGTCATATTACTGGAATATTGTTAAAAGTGGCGTAAAACCATACTCACTCTTGATTGCAGCATGAACATGTACACATCTGTTATACACATTAAGGTCAGTTTTGATTTCATTTTACAAGGGTATAAACTTATCATATTTTCTTACCGTAATTTTAATTATCATTTGATGAAGAAGTACAATGTGAAGGTAATTTTAAAACAAAATTGACATTTTGAACAAGAATTATTTTGGCTGCTGAAAAAAAGACTCCTTCGTGGATCATATTACACAATGTTTCTCTATTTGTAGTTCCTTTGTTTAGAGTTGTGATTACT